ATCTTCACCATTCATCTCTCTATGTTAGAACTGGTGCTGCTGTTAATTGATCTTCACCATTCATCTCCTTCTCTCTCTCTCTCTCTTCCAATGTTCATACAAACATTTGAGCATACGTTTTATTAGATTGTTGTTTTATATGTACATTATTCTGCCTTCACCGGCCTATTAAATAAGCTTTGATAGGACCTTGTAAAAAAATATTGAAGCTTTTGTCTTTAGTTTTCCATCACCAATGGACCTTGTAACAGTAAAATTGGAATTTATACCTCAATATTCTTTCTCCTCCGAATTTGTATCTCACTTTTTACCAAGATTTTAGAATTCCCAACCCCCATTATCTTATTTTCGCTCTTATCTTTATCTCCTCGAAGCCCATAAATGGAGGATGCAGCAAAAGGGGCAGGTGCCACAGTATGCTCCCCAATGAGCATCCTTTTCTTATTGGGAAAAGTTTATGTAGAGCCGAGGCTCTAAACAATCAAATTGGAACGCACCTCAAAATTTTCATTATAATAGGTTGTTTTGATGCTCAAATATCATCAAATTGATCATTTCGGCTTCAATATGGATGGACATGAGAAAAAAATGGATTTCAAGTTTTGTAAATAGTACATCTTATAACACATTTTTGAACTGTCAATTTTCAAGATTTTCAAGTTTTCATAGATCTGCTCGATCTACGCTATTTTTTAAGCTTTAAATTTTATAATTAAAAATAAAAATATATTTTAAGTATATCACAAAGATTTTCAATATTAAAACCACATTTCTCGACATTATTTGAAAGTAAGCTCTAATTTGATTGTCTAGAGCTTCGACCCTATACAAACCTCACCCGTACTTAATTTGTTCGAAACTCCACCTCCACCTCTTAAGGCGAATATCCACCTCACAGAATCAGCTAAACCATAGATGCTCTGCAAGGAAAATGCTACAGTATGCACCCCTAGGGAGTAGAGTAGGACAAAATCTTTTTATATTGCATGTATCATTTGCAAAAGCAAAGCTCTCAAATGCATGATCTAATATGGGTGTGGTTTGTATAAGGTTGCAACCTTAAACAATCCAATTAAAGCGCACCTCCAAACTTATCATGATATGCATGATATGTAATTTTGGTGTAAATATTTGAAAATCTATTTTCATCACTAATTATAAACTTTTAAACTCCAAAAATGGTTAAAAATCAAGTAGATCTATGAACATATAAAAATTCTAAAAATAGATGATCTAGATAATATGTTGCAAGATGCACTATTTCCAAGATTCAAAATGGCTTTTTTTTTTCTTTTCCATATTCATACATGTTGATGTCAAAAAGATCAATTAAAGGGTTTTTCAACATTAAAACAACATTTTCCAATGGATTTTTGAGATGTATCTTTACGCCTACATTTTACGGTTCCAACCTTATATAAACTTTTTCCATCAAATATTTTCCCTCTTCCTTTTTCATTCTTTATGAGGTTTGGAGCCCTAATCTCCTCAAATGCTCGGGCACGTCCAAGTAACTCCCACTCATCACCCTGGAGAGTCTGAGTATCCCTGAGTTGGATGTCCAATACAAGGATCTTAAAAAAAAATTCTAAAAAATTTATAAAAACCACAAAATAATAAATTTATTTGTAATATATTTTTTTATGTTTTATATCATTTTGGCAAAGATTGAAAAGTGTTTTGGCCATGAACATTTTCCTTTTGTAGATTATTTTCAAAATACCCCTAGTCACAAATTGATTTATTTCAAAATTCATTTTTCACGACTTTTTTAACCTCATTTAGATGTATTTTGTTTAATTTTACTTTAAACATATTTCCATATTTTTTGGGTTTTTTTTGCTACAATACTCGACCCAACTCGGGCTGAATTACTCAAAATCGGGCCAAGCACTAGGCTTGAGCCTGGGCCGAACACCCTGCCCGAGTCGCTCTTTCTCACACTCAATCTCCCATCGTAGGGCGGGGCAAAGAATCCAAGCCATTCCAAAGAAACAAAACGAAGGAAACAATTTCCCCCTCATAAAACATACAACCAAGTAGTAAACATAAAGAAGATGTAAGAAATAATATATGATAAAACACCATAACTTATAAAAAAATAAACAATGCCGGCGTTTGGTTTTCCTATAAATTGGTCGCAACTCTCCGACCATTGATTTGAGTAATGATCCTAGGGTATTCAATACTAAGAAATTGATTTGAGTAATGATCCTAGGGTATTCAATACTAAGAAATTGATTTGAGTAATGATCCTAGGGTATTCAATACTAAGAAATCTAGAGACCTGGAGCTGAAAAATGCTTTGTTTGATAAAGAAATGTATACAATGAGACCGTTTAATTTTTATATAAAGAGGTCACAATTGTCATTGACCATTAGTTTTGAAATTGGGTGGTTGAGGGTGTATTGTTTGAGCACAATATCCAAAACAAAAATTTTTGAATGTTGACGCACACTTTCATCTATTGAATTTCACATTTAATAACTAAAACTCATTTGTGACCTCTTTGTACAAAAAATAAATAGCCTTATAATATACAATTATGCTTGATAACCTGTCCGGGAGGCCAATCACTTTATGGAAGAGGATCGCGGACAGTCACTTTATGGAGGAGGTGGTCTTGCAATAGAGGGGCGGTTGTTTGGTGGAAGGCATAGTGGTGGTTGGATATATTGTTGATGCTGTAAAATTTGTTTAAAAAAAAAAAAATGAATTAATGGAAATTATAAAGAAAGCAAACAAGTGTAGTTTCAACGGCAATATAGACTTCAATAGAGTTCAAGGAAACAATATTTCTGAAATAATGATTCAACTTTGAACCAAAACCCTAACTTGGCCTCTATTTGAAGACTTTATTTACATCTCTTAATCCTAACTCTAATGTAATTGGACATTCTAACTAAAATGGGAGCCGAACTTGATACTTTTGCCCCCGACAATTAAATTAAGGCAAACTTGTCCAAAAATAACCCGGCATAATTTTTCAATCCAAAGTCCAAATAGCTATTATGACACCATTTTAGAACCATGAGCTAAAACATTCATTAGTTTTCTCGAGAAAATCACGATGGAAGTTGGGAGTTTCACCTTCCATCCTGGTTTTGCAAGATCCCCACTTTTTGTAGATGGGGTTATCCCCATTGCCAAATGTATTCTAATAGTATATAATTGGGTCCCCCATATTTCGGGGATATAAGCCCCTCAATTTAAAGACAACCTCAACAAAGAGAAAAATTCATAGGATCCTTAGATTGAGCAACGATCATCCACTTTTTGGACGATTGGATCAAAGTATTTAAAAGTAAAAAATTTTATTTTTTTTAAAATACTCATCTGATCATACTAAAGTTGGTTCCAAAATTTTAAATAAAAAGAAGACTCTTGAGTAGGCCTTTTATCCTTGGGAGTCAAATTCCTGAAATTAAGTTGATTGTTTCTCATCCCAATATAGAATAAGGGCAATTACAAAAAATTTAATTTTTGAAAAAATATCAAAAGGAAGGATTGACACACCTCACAATATCACTAAAAGGTCAAAGATTACAAATTACAGGGTATTGCTTTTAAATTTGTATATAATACTTCCTCAAAAAACGTTGACATTATTTTTTCCAATTGCCCATGTTAGTTGTTGGGAAGCCTTAAAAATTAAACGTACTTCGGTAACATTACACTCATAGAGGCCTAAATCGAATAACAGTAGTACCACTTGGGGAGAAAATTTACCAAAGTACCCCTAATCTCTTTGGTTGTCCATAATAGAACAAGAGCAGTTTGGAAATTTTGGACGATGCTTGATTGGAAATTTTGGCTCCGCTAGAAGCGACGCACTGCAATGACTCCCGATTGTGGTGATAATTAGGTAATGATTATCAAGTGATTGTGGACGAACACAGATAAAGAAGTTAGTCCAAGAGAATAAAGAGTAGAATGGCATGACTTGTTCGTGTAGTCGACTCCAAATAGTTGGGATAAGATTCAAATAGTGATGATGATGCTTTTAGAGAAGTACTTGATTGGCATAGAAATTTAAAAGCACACATTCAACCGCTCGATCTGAATGGATGGTTATGATTGCTTGTATCACAATGTCACGTAAAAATATATTTGATTTTTAATTATTTTAATGTTCAAGAGCCTATTTATAATATTGTGACTCAAATCATCCCAAGCATCGACTCAAATTTGATGCCTGAGAGTAGGGGTCGCGTGTACTTTATATGTTATGGTAAAGCTTTCCCAATGTTAATAGGGGATAATTTAACCTATATTGTAAGGGGTTTCAACCTCTTAAATGATATTTTTCTTCAAAGAAAAAATATCCTAATATTAATATAAACTGTCTAAACTTTTAGACAATCATATCTAAGTGTTTAGAAATCCAAATCTATTCCTTTTAAATACTTGTAACAGTAATTCTCATGTGGATTCCAAAATTTTACAGCCACAAAATACTCTTAAACAATCCACCTGGGGGATAATCATGTAATTTCCTCCAGCAAATGGACCTGCCATCCCCTCCAATTCAGGTGTCGCACGTGCACAAGCACGTGCCACGGCCATGCCTAATAGATTCTAACATTTCTATTTTGTTTTCCCATATTTACATTTTTTTTTTCCATTTCTACCCCGTGGCGTGTAATTTAATAATACGAATTTGATGGTAAAGAAGATTGTGAAATAACAAAAAATTGAAAAATAAACTAAAAAATGAATTTATGGATGAGAGAGAAAATGCATTTTATTTTATAAAAAATTGTTGTTGGATTCAAGTTTTGAGGATTTTTCCATCTAAAGATTTGTTGATTTGTTGATTTGTTCATCATCTAACATTTTAAAAAGTTGATTTTAAAATTCAAAAGAATAATTCTAAAAGAATAATTTTTTTTCGCTTTTTCCTTTTCCATACATCTTTTTACCGAGCTTTCCTTTATCTTTATACCTGTGATTCCACGGTAAACACTATGCAATTTAGATTGTAAATGTGTCACATGGCAAGCATTTAAACATAAAACCCCAAGGCTTGACTTTTAGGGTTTCTTCAAACTTACACTCATTAGCCTTGATATCTCCGCTCTTTTTCCTGCAATAACAGTGAATCTCCATTAATGGTGGAATTTGCAAAAGAAACTACCTGTGAAGTGCAGCCCTGAGCTTCATTGAAGGGGGCCTTCTTCATTGCGAGCTTGTTCTCTGACAGCCACTCCGAGCTTCTTTAATGGCAGATTTGCATAGGAATCACTGAAACATAGGCGAGGACTGCATTGTGGAGAACCTGAGCTCCGTTAGTGGCGTATTTGCAGAGGAATCTGTGAACAGAGGGGACCAATCTTACTTGTTTGCAGAGAAATCAGTTGAGTTTCGTAAGAGCAACTCGGGGCTTCATTAATGGCGGATTTGCACGGGACGCTTTGAACAGGAACGACCAGTGTGACCTTTTTTGCAGAGAATGAATTGGGTATTGTAAGAACAGCTTGGAGCTTTACTACTGGCGGATTTGCAGTGAAATCTCTGATCATAGGAGCGAAAAAAATCGAATTTTTGCGGAGAAAAACTGACGTGTTTTATATAACAACTTGGGGTGCTGCATTAATGGCTGATTATCCAAGAAATATCTGAAACAGTGGTGAAAAGTTTGCAGAGAAATGAGTTGGGTTTTCTCAGAAAGCAAGCGAAGCTTAATCTCAAGCTTCATCCCTCCTAGCCCACCTCCTCAACCAGAGGTCTTTCATGGCTTCCTCCACCAAAACCAGTTGAACCCATCTCCTTATAACTTCCAAAAAGAACAATCAACCAGCAAAATAAGCCCTGCTGTTCTCTTCATTATAGTAATTTTAGCAGTGGTTTTCTTCATCTCTGGCTTGCTCCACCTCCTCGTTCGATTTCTTCTTAGGCCCCAATCTCCATCCCCAAGAGAACCAGAGCTCTCAGACTCTGCAAATACTTTTCAAGGTCAATTGCAACAACTCTTTAATCTCCATGATTCAGGTGTTGATCAAGCTTTCATTGATGCATTACCAGTTTTCATTTATAAAGCAATAATGGGTTCAGAAACAGAGCCCCCATTCGATTGTGCAGTGTGCTTATGCGAGTTCGGGAGCGAAGATAAGCTTCGATTGCTCCCAAATTGTAGCCATGCTTTCCATCTGGACTGCATCGATACATGGTTACTCTCTCACTCTACATGCCCACTTTGTAGGGGGAGCATCTCCTCTGATTTCCATGGAGTTTTCATTCCTTCTTTCGGGGACGAAATTGGGGTTTCTAGAGAAAGAGAGAACGGTTTAGAGGAAGTGGTTGCAGGTGGTGACAGTGGAGGTGATCAGGGGTTTCAAAAGCAAGTGGAAATTGGGGTAGAGAGAGAGAGTGAGCAAAGGGTAGAAAGAGAAGAGATTGTTGATGTTCCAGAGCAAAGAGTTTTTCCGGTAAAGCTAGGAAAGTTCAGGAGCTTGAACAACAATGGGGCGTTAGAGAGAGAAAGTGGGAATAGCAGTGGGGTTCTAGAGAGAGAAAGTGGGAGCAGCAGTGGGGTTCTAGAGAGAGAAAGTGGGAGTAGTGGTAGCTGCAGCATGGATGCGAGGCGATGTTATTCAATGGGGTCTTTCCAGTATGTTTTGGGGACAAATGATCTTAGAGTTGCAGTCACTCCTGCAAAAAAGATGAGAATTCCAGCCAATCTAGAGAGTCGAAATTGCGACCTAGAAGCGAAGAAGCTCAGCAATGCCGGAAAGTTCGAGAGCTTCTCAGTGTCGAAGATTTGGCAATGGTCGAAGAAAGATAAATGTTCGAGTTCAGAAGAAAGGATAGGAGGATTATTTAAACTGTAAGTGAAATTACAGTGATGGATTGTTTCAGATTTAGATATTAGATAAATGTGTCTATAGATCAAATTTTATGCAGCATACCTTTATCTGGTATGTGTTTTCTTTTCTCCCATTTTTAGCTTTATTATTTTTGCGGACTGTCTTAATGTAAAATCAGAGATTTGTAGTCTTCTTCTTCCTTCATCTGTTTTTCATGGTTTCCCTGATTTCTCTTTGCAGTTCGAGTGCTAATTTAAGAGAGAGAAAACACAGGAGTGAGAAAAACTCATATGAGAGAGAAACTAAATATTGATGAGTTTTGTTTTGATTTGTGATCCACATGGGTACCAATATAAAAAAGCTGTTGAGTAGCTGTTAGGTCACTTGTTAATGGAAGTAAGAGAGGAGAGAGAAAGAAGAGAGAGAGAGAGAGAGAATTGTGTTAATTGATTGTGGATGTCTTAATCAAGGCTTTGCATAATCAATGGGAGCTGGGTGGGGGGGTTACATAATGAATACCAACCCCGCCGGTGCTTAAAAAGTTTGGAAAAGGTCAAATGTTCCAAGATTATGGACTCTTATTGCCTAGAGAGAGAGAGAGAGAGAAGAGAGAGAGAGAAAATAGAGAGAGAGAGGGAGGGAGTGAATCACTTAAAATAGACATCTGACCAAATTGGTAGATAGAAATGTGTCACTTCTCTATAATCTATCAAATTGGAGGAAAGAGATGGAGCTTTCTTGATCGATTCAACTTAGATTCATTCACCAGATCGTAAAATGAGATTATATCTGCAATCGTCATTGGAAGCTTGTGAGTGTATTTAGACAATTAACCATAAGCTAATCATGTTGCAGATGCACTTGTAAAATATACCACTAGATGCTCAAAAGTTAAAATCTAGTGCTCCGATCACCCAACTTCAAAATCTGGCGCTCAGATTACCAGACTTTTCGGACTGTCAAATATAGTTTGTATGAATGTCCACGAGTGAGCCGTGCGAAAAAGTCTTCCGTTTCTTTAAAGAGACTCATGTGTTCATTGATTAATAGGAATATACAAACAAATTTTTTTAATATTGACAAATACAAATGACATTAATAAAAACAAATCACATACCTATAATATACCCAAATTTGAAAAAATCTAAAAAGTGCCTATAGGTGAAATGCTATAGTGTTTCACCACCGCCACAGACTTACTATGTTTATGGCAGTTTATTGAACGGGCATGTAACGAACAGTGTGTGCCATCCGTTGCGGTTCTGCATGAATTTTTTACTGCCACAGACCTAGTATGTTTATGACGGTACTATTGTGTACGGAAGCTATAAACCCGACGTGTTAATTTTTTGGTAAATAAAGTACGAGAAATAGAGCATGAAACACATACACAAGAACACAAATATTTCCGTGGTTCGCCCCAGAATGGCTATATCCACGAGCATGGCAAATTGAAATTCACTATACCAATAAAAATTACAACAAAGATTTTGAAATAAAGAGTTACCTCTTTAAATCTCGATAAAAACCCAAGTCGAGCAAATCCAACGATAAGCTGACTTTCTCTCTAACTGAAAGGGGGAAACAACCCAAAATCTCTACCTGTTTCTCTACAAGAAACAAGCATCTCAATCTCCAGAAACAAGCCTCTCAATTTCAATGAGTCTACAAGAGACATCATCGCAATATTTTTATCAATAGGAAGCTCTCTTCTCTCTAAGAGGAAACCCTCTCTCTCTAAGAAGAAACCTTCCTTAGGAAGCTCTATTCTCTCTAAGAGAAAACTTTGCATTTTATGTATACGAGGCCTTGCCCCCTTCTCTTTCTAGAAGAACTACCTTTCTCATATGGTAACCCAAATAAGACACACAAATTCTCTACACTTTCATCTCACATATATATATATATATATATATATATATATATATATATAAGTAGTAGTACTACTAACTAAAACTTAAAACTTACTTATTAGTATAGTTATACTATATACTAACTAAAACGTAAGTAAGTATAATTATACTTAAAACGTTACTTAATT